ATTGCATTCTGTTGTTTTCTGCCCATATGTCCAACCTGTCCAGGTCTGCTTGTAGTTGTTCCCTGCCCTCTGGCGTGTCCACTTCTCCCCACAGTTTTGTGTCATCTGCATACTTGGACAGAGTACACTTCACTCCCTTGTGCAAGTCACTGATGAAGATATTGAAGAGTATCGGTCCAAGGATCAAGCCCTGCGGGACCCCACTGCCCACACCCTTCCAGGTCAATACCGATCCATCTACTATGACTCTCTGAGTGCGACCCTCTAGCCAATTTGCCACCCACCGGACTGTGTAGTTGTCCAAGTCACAGCCTCTTAACTTGTTCACCAGTATGGGGTGGGATACCGTATCGAAGGCCTTCCTGAAGTCTAAGTATACGACATCAACCCCTACTCCTGCGTCCAGGCGTTTTGTAACCTGGTCATAAAAAGAGACTAGATTAGTCAGGCATGATCTACCTGCTACGAACCCGTGCTGGTTTCCCCTCAGCATAATTTGTCCTGCCGGGCTCTTGCAAATGTGAGCCTTGATAATTTTATCGAAGACTTTGCCTAGGATGGATTGGAGCTGGCTGCTTTCATCTTCCCCTGCTATGCAGGTCCCGGGACTCCACTGGAGTGGAAAGGAGCCCCTGCCCCTGCTTCTTCGTTGAGTCCCAGGACCTTCATGGCAGGGAGTAGCAAAAGCAGCCAGCTCCAGTGCGTGGAGCTTCCCTCTAGTGGCATGCAAGTACAGGAGTTATACATGCACGGTGGGGAGTCCTGGTGAGAGAGGTAGCACAGCCGGGCTGTGTCCGTCGCTATGATGGGCAGCGCTGACTGGAGCCATGTGCCACTTGGCGATAGCACCTGCCCTGGGCATGAACGTCCCTCCCTGCTGCTGCTGATGCCTTCTGCAGGGACTGTCTGCCGGGGGGGGAGTGTGAGGGAGTCCTTACATCCCCCCCCTCCCACTGTCCCTTACACCCCACAAGTACCACACAGCTACACCCTTCCTGTACAACCCACACACACATACACCCCCCCCAACATACTCTGTTGCCTCCCACACACATAGCCACACCCTATCACATCCCCCTCCACACACCCCATTCCACACCACACACACGCACCCCCACCACACACGCATGCACGCGCACACACACCCCCACCATACATACACACACATCCCCACACAATATACAAGACTAAGACTTTATTTTTGAGTTCTTAGGCAAATTGCCTCTGTATACAGTACGCAAACACAAATCATGACAAAAATATATTTTGTAATAAAATTGAAATATGTTATAGTAGGTGTTTGACTTTTAGTGTATGATTTGTTGGTTTTTTTTCTCATTCTAACATGGCAACCCCTTCTTCCAAAAGATGTATTTCTGAGGAGCAAGGGGAGGGACTTCTGGTCCCAAGGTGGTGATTGGGGAGGGAGGAGGAGGGGAGAGGCAACTGTCAGAGGCTGGGGCTACCCATGCAGCCCTTGAGCTCACCAAAACTTCATTAAGCAGCCCTCCAGCAGAAATAATTGCCTACCCCTGCTCTAACTAGTAGTTGCATAGTTATTTTTTTTTAGCTCTGCTGAAATGCTTAATAAAGTAGTCCTTTATTTTTTAATTTTTTTATTGATGATCTTGCCCAGCTTGTGTGCAACAGCCTGTTGAATTCGATGCAGAGCTGTCTCTTGCAAATGTGTGCTTGTGCCAGCAGAGGGCTGGTTTGGGGGCTTTGGCTGGGTCCAGGTGACTTTTGAGGGAGGGGGAGTTGAGTTGGTGCTTTCCTCAGAGGCTATTAAGCAACCAGTCCATCAGTCCACAGCGAGTTATGTTTCCCACAGTGGCATCAAACTGTTGTTTTTCTAAGTACCTCATCACTTCCTGGAGAATATCCCCCACACTGTAGCCCTTCATGGCTGCTTTTTCAGCTAGCAAAGGAAGTTTCTTCAGATTCTCTTCATTTCCATGCATGAATGACAGATTTGGCACGTTGAACTGGGAAGCAACCACCCACTGGAGGATGGCCTGAAGCTCTTTGTTTTGTGAGCTGCTGTTGGCATTCTGGTTGGTCACTACTACTTGTGAACCTGAAGATGAACCTGTAAGTGGGTTTCCAATCTGTTTTGATAGGGAAGCTCTCCTGGGTGTTGCTTGAGCTTTTGCAGATGAGGTACCAAATGCATTGGGTTCCTCTGACAAGTCACCTATAGCTATATCAGTGCCACTGCCTTTGACCATGAAGAGACATAACTTTATCACAGATTCCACCAGTTGGTCAAAAAATTGCCTGTTGACCTGATCCATATTGTCAGACTGCTCCATGGCTGAATTCGGCTGTTTGGCTACAGCCTGTTTGCCAGGCTCCCATTCGCTGGCAGGGGTATGCTTGAAGCTCTCGTTAGTTTCGCTGGAGCTGTCTTCTATATTGAACCCAGCTTCATGCAAGACCTTCTGTATGATGGACAAGAGGACACTTGATATGTCTCCCTTTTGGGAGTAGAGCTGCTGTTGGTAATCGTGCCTTGTCCCTGCTGACCTCGACCCAGAAGCCTCTGCAAGGGATTTGGAGCTTTGGCTGTTCCCAGCTTTTTCAAAATGTGCATCGCGGGAAACATACCCAAACGAAGTGGCATGTGATTCACTAGAGTCCTTGCCATTGTTTGTCTGTTGCAGTAGATGTTGCTGTATCAACATTAAGGCAGTCACAATGAGGTCTTTTGCATACTTATCCATTGAGCAGTGCTTTTCTGAAGGCTTGCATGATGACGATTGAGATTTGTTTCCTCCTTTTTCCTTGTCTTTTCCAGAGTTGTGCATTGCACTTTGCATTGCTGTAAACTGCATGGCTTGAGATTTTGGGTCCTGGGACCCTGTTTTAAGTGATGTAAATGCTAGACTTTGAGACCTGGATTGTCCCTTATCTTCTCCTGCTAGGGCTTGAAAAAGGCGTTTAACCATTGCTTCCAGAATTTCAGTAGACTTCTGGTTCGCTACACTGAATAGATTTTTCTTCACAGTAGCAACGAAGCCAGAGTCTGTCATGAGCTCACCTGTGACACTATGCAGATTTTTCATTATTGAGTCTATCAAGTCTGATATAACATCTCTGGTGTGTTTGAGAGCTGTTGTCTTCAAAACCAGGCAAGCTGGAGCATGCTTGTTGCCCTTCTTTTCGACCTTCATGGTCTTCAAGAATGAGAACACCATGTCTGAAGCAACCTTGTTTGCATAAACCATTAGCTCTTTGTTGACAGAAGTACCATATTCATCTTGCCTGGAGTTTTTGGCTTGCTGATGCATTTGCTTATCTGAAGATTTTTCTCCTTGTTTACAGCCCTTTTGATTGGACATCTCGCCATAGAAAAGAGATGTTTTCTTGGAGCCTGAATGATCTTCTCCCTTAATAGTCCTTTCTTGAGATGCCTTGGGAGATAGTAGTTTACCACGAGGGTCTTGTGTGCTTGCTTCAACAGCTTCATTCACCATCTGTGATGCAATTTTGCTCACGTCGCCACAGGTGGTATTATTTTTCCCTTCATGAGTGGATCTATGAATTGCTTGACTTATACAGTTTTGGGCAGTTCCTTCCAGTTTGTCTGTGATCTCCTTACTGGCCATTTGAGCAACCAAGGAACAGAGCTTATTTACATAGTATGAAACATCATCAGTGTCTCCCTTGTTTTCTTTTTGAGCACCAGTAGACTTTAATGATGTGTCATTATTCTGGTACAGTAGGGTGTTTTTGAAGCTGTCACTACCTTTGTGTTTCGGTGGATTATCTGAAGGAGCCAGTGCATGCTGGAATCCAACTGCATATTTCTGAAGGTCATTGTTGAGCCAGCTCACAATGTTAAGTTCATCAGTTGAACCTTGTTTAAAAAGACAGACTGTTCCTTCAGTCTTAAACTTTGTTTGCATAAACCATTAGCCCTTTGCTGACAGAAGTACCAGATTCATCTTGCCTGGAGTTTTTGGCTTGCTGATGCATTTGCTTATCTGAAGATTTTTCTCCTTGTTTACAGCCCTTTTGATTGGACATCTCGCCATAGAAAAGAGATGTTTTCTTGGAGCCTGAATGATCTTCTCCCTTAATAGTCCTTTCTTGAGATGCCTTGGGAGATAGTAGTTTACCACGAGGGTCTTGTGTGCTTGCTTCAACAGCTTCATTCACCATCTGTGATGCAATTTTGCTCACGTCGCCACAGGTGGTATTATTTTTCCCTTCATGAGTGGATCTATGAATTGCTTGACTTATACAGTTTTGGGCAGTTCCTTCCAGTTTGTCTGTGATCTCCTTACTGGCCATTTGAGCAACCAAGGAACAGAGCTTATTTACATAGTATGAAACATCATCAGTGTCTCCCTTGTTTTCTTTTTGAGCACCAGTAGACTTTAATGATGTGTCATTATTCTGGTACAGTAGGGTGTTTTTGAAGCTGTCACTACCTTTGTGTTTCGGTGGATTATCTGAAGGAGCCAGTGCATGCTGGAATCCAACTGCATATTTCTGAAGGTCATTGTTGAGCCAGCTCACAATGTTAAGTTCATCAGTTGAACCTTGTTTAAAAAGACAGACTGTTCCTTCAGTCTTAAAACGATCTTGCTTTTCATTGTCTTTTATTACAATGACCTCTCTTTCCTCCATGTTTACTAGGTCAAGTTCATTTGAATGTTCAGAGATGTTGCTGGACTGGCTTGCAGCTTGCTTTGCTTTTGGATCTGTGGCTTTTAAATTCAGGCTGGAGACGTCAACAAAAGAGATCACTTTACGGTCCTGGTCCTTCTGTCCTTCAGGCTTGTAGAGGTCTACTTTACACAGGCCTGCCTGGCTGTGTAGCCAGTCAACTTCCTGAGACATCTTTGGAGATTGATGTTAGAACCGTACCCAGGACCGTAAAGTGTTCTTGAGTCAGTTGAGCTGCAGTGATGACCCTGCCAGACTCGATGTTACTTCTTCTCTCAACTTCCCATGGTCTTTTGCTGCCAGATTTGATATTCACTGTGTTGCCTCTTGGTTTCTATAGCAGCAATGACATCACAAAGATTCAGTTTCACCAACAGCTAGTGGTGTGATGGTCCTAGTTCAGCAATAACCTATCCTACCTATCCTGGTTTTTCCCTTAGGCTATAATAAATCTATTTCCTTCGGTTTTGGATAGTGTTTTTTAGATGGGATGGGGAAGTGAGAGAATGAGGAATCAGTTTCCCTCTCCTCTCCATCCTCATCTCCCAACCCCTAATTAAAAAAATACAAGGAGGCAACAACTCTCATTAAACTACATTTTGGGATATACAGTTAATGTAAGGATAGCTTAGCACAGAGTTAAGCTTCTGGTTAAAAGGAGGAGTTTGGCAGGCAGAGTTTGGTCCTACGGTGTCACAGAATCGTAGAACCAGAAAGGACCTGTAAGATCATCAAGTCCGGTCTCCAGCCATGGGCTGTAAGCTATTGGGCTCAGACAAGCTGAACAAGGTGCCTGTCCAGCCTCCTCTTGAACATGTCCAAGGATGGCGACTGTACCACCTCTGCTGGGGGTGTTCCAGATTTTGCCATCCCCTACAGAGAAGAAGTTCTTCCTTATACTGAGCCTGAATTTACCCTCCATAAGCTTATGTCTGTTGGTCCTTGTCATCCCTTGAGGCCATCATGAAGAGTTACTCATCTATATCTTGGTGTTCACACCTGATGTACTTGTAGGCAGCTGTCAAGTCACCTCTCAGCCTTCTCTTACTCAGACTGAACAACAGGCCCAATTCTTTCTTTCTTTCTTTCTTATAGATTAGGGCTGGAAGGCACCTTGGAAGGTTGAGTCCAGCCCCCTGCTCCAGAGGTAGGAAGCCAGCAGGGATCATAGGATCCCAGCAAGATAAACATCCAGTTGTCTCTTGAAGGCGTTCAAAGTAGGCGCTTGAACCACCTCCGGTGGCAGTCTATTCCAAACCTTGGGGGCTCAGACAGTAAAGTTCTTCCTTATGTCCAGCCTGAAACGGTCATGGAGGAGTTTGTGACTGTTCGACCTTGTCATCCCTTGGGTGCTCCGGTGAACAGATGTTCCCCCAGATCCTGTTAAGCACCCCGATAAACTTATAGGTGGCCACCAGATCACCCCTGAGCCTGTGCTTTTCCAGTCGGAAAAGTCCCATGGCTCTCAGCCTCTCATAATAAGGTCTGTCTTCCTGACCTCTGATCATGTCTGGCTCTTCTCTAGACTCTCAAGCTTCTCCACATCCTTTTTGAAAAACTGAACGCAGTACTCTAGCTGCGCCCTCACCAAGGCCGAGTACAACGGGAGAATGACGTCCTGGGATTTACTTGAGAAGCATCTATGGATGCAAGCCAGCATGTTGCTTGCTTTACTAGCAGCAGCATCACATGGAAGGCTCATGTTCATTTTGTGGTCAATTATGACCCCCAAGTCCCTTTCACCCATAGTGCTAGCCAGCGTAGCACTGCCAAACCTATAAGGATGCTGCAGTTTTTTCTTCCCAAGGTGGAGAACCTTGCATTTTTTGGTGTTGAACACCATAAGGTTCTCGTCCGCCCATTTCCTGAGCCTGTCAAGGTCATCCTGGATCACCCTCCTGTCCTCAGGCGTGGATGCTTTACTACAGAGTTTGGTGTCATCGGCAAACTTGGCCAGTCCACTTCTGATACCAATGTCCACATCATTAATGAAGATGTTGAATAGTGTAGGCTCAAAGACAGAGCCTTGAGGGACCCCACTGGTCACAGGGCACCACAACGATTTTGACTTCCATCAACCACCACTTTCTGGGTCCTACCACGGAGCCAATTCCCCAGCCAGTGGATCATGGTGAGGCCGAGGCCGCAATTAGCCAGATTTGCTAAGAGATGATCATGGGATACCAGATCCACATGACCTACCCTCAACAAACCCATGCTGGCTGTCCCTCAGGATGCTGCCATTGGCCACGCCGTTAAAGACATTGGCCTTCTTCCAGTCTTCGGGCACTTCACCAGAGCGCCAGTAGTTCTCGAAGATCCGTGCCAGGGGCTGAGCTATGATGCTAGTCAGCTCCTTGAGTACCCTGGCATGTAAACTGTCGGGGCCGACTGACTTGAAGGTATCCAGCCTGTCAAGGTCTTTCTTCACGAGGTCAGCACTGATGGAGGGTAAGGAATCTCCCTCACCCGGACCTCCCCGTCCCATAATGGGCAGGGGCGTCCTGTGGGACTGGTGAAAGACTGACGCAAAGTACCTATTTAGCAAGTTCGCTTTTTCCTGGGCATCAGTTGTCAGTTGTCCCAAGTGGTTTAGCAGGGGTCCAATGTTGCCCTTGCTTTTCCTCCGGCTCCCCACATATCTAAAAAAGGACTTTTTATTGTTCTTGATACTTGTAGCTAGTTGGAGTTGAGTCACAGCCTTGGCTTTCCTGGCTCGCTCCCTGCAGGACCAGACCAGGTGAGAATATTCCTCCTTGGAGGTGGATCCAGTCCTCCATCCTTTGTAGGACTGTCTTTTTAGACACAGGAGGTCTGCTAGTTCCCTGGAGAGCCAAGGGGGCTGCTGTGCCCTTTTGCTGCCTTTCCTTCAAGATGGAATAGACTTTGCTTGCACATCCAGGATTGCTCCTTTGAGGAGCAACCACTCGTCCTTAAATCCCCTCCCCTTTGAGCTGAGGCCCTTCAGGGCCTCACTGACAAGCCTCCTGAGCTTGTCAAAGTCAGCTTTCCTGAAGTCGAGGACTTCTGTATTGCTGACTGACTTGCCAGCTTTACGGCGTGTGGTGAAAATGATCAGCTCGTGGTCGCTGTTACTCAGCTTTCCTTCGATCACTAGGTCGCTGATTAGGTCATCCCCCATTGCCAGAACCAAGTCAAGCAGCGCTTTACCTCTCATCGGCCCGTAGACTTCTTGCGTCAGATAGAGCTCATCCACGCATGAGAGAGAGCTTCCCACAAGATGTCTGGGTAATTGAAGTCTCCCATGACAACCATGCACCGGGAGCGTGCAGCCTCAGCCAATTCCCTGGCGAACTCCTGGTCAAGCTCTTGATCCTGGATAGGAGGTCTGTAGTAGACTCCCACCATTACGTCCCCTGTGCCATGTTCCCCATGGACTTTAACCCAGAGGGTCTCCAGTCATCCATCCTGGGTGCCAATGTCGGCTTGCAGGAACGCGTAGGTTTCCTTGATATAGAGAGCTACATCCCTGCCCCTTTTGTCCACTCGATCCCTCCTGTACAGGGTATAGCCTTCTATACCTGTGGCCCAGTCATGGGTGGAGGGCCACCAGGTCTCTGATATCCCTGTGATATTGTAATTATTTGTGTTAAGCAGGAGAACAAGTTCCTTCTGTTTATTCCCCAAGCTCCTGGCATTTGTGTACAGGCATGCAAGTGTCCCAGTGGGGGCCCTTGCCTTGCCTACAGCTCGGTGCAGGGGTGGGCTCCCTTAAGTGCCTTGGCCTTAAGTACCTTGGCCTCCTGGCTTTGCAAGGGTTGCTCAGTGGGCCAGCAGTGGCAGTGGTCCGCCCATCCCCCAGTAGGGTTAGTTTAAAGCCCAGTGGAGCAGGTCAGCCAGTCTGGCTGAAAAGAGCCTCCTCCCCAGTGGAGAGTCTGTTTCCTCCATGCCCTTGACCATGTGGGTAACTCTTCTTTGTACTCTTTTGAGCTTTTCTATGTCCTTCTTGAAGTGCAGTACCCAGAATTGGACAAAGTACTCCAGCTGAGGCCTCACTAGTGCCGAATAGAGAGAGAGAGAGAAGCATCTCTCTGGATCTATTGGCCACACATCGGCTGGTGCACGCCACAATTCTGTTTGCCTTTCTGGCAAGCTCATCGCACTGCTGGCTCATATTCATCTTCCAGTCGATCGTTTCTCCCAGGTCTTGTTCAGATGCTGTGCCAGCCAGTAGGCCACCACCCATCATGTAATTATGGTGAGGGTTCTTCCTACCCAGATGAAGGACTTTGCACTTATTCGTGCTAAACCTCATCTGATTCTGATTCACCCATGAGTCCAGCCTGTCAAGGTCATCCTGGATCCTGACTCTGTCCTCCAGCGTGCCCACATTTCGCCACAGCTTTGTATCATCTGTAAACTTAATAATTGAGCTTTCCACCCCCTCATCCAAGTCGTTAATGGATATATTAAAGAACATGGGTCCAAGCACCAATCCCTGAGGGACACCACTGGAGACGGCCTTCCAGGATGAGGCCATCCCATCAATTACCACTCTGGGAGCGGCCTCTAAGCCAATTGTCCACCCACTTCACTGTAGACTGGTCAATCCAGCACCCTCGAGCTTGTTTGAGAGAATCCCATGGAAAACAGAATCAAAGGCTACACTGAAGTCTGAGTAAATTATATCCACTACATGTCCCTCATTCAGATGGCCATAGAAGGACACAAGGTTTGTCAGGCATGATCTACCCTCAACAAAGTTGTGCTGATTGCTTCTTAACATCCTGTCTGTTTCCAGCTTGTATGGAGGAAGAAAGTTTATGAGAAGGTATTGCAATTTGGTGGGGCAAGCAAAGATGAGCTTGTGAGGGGAAAGTGCAGCCAGAAACTCAGCATGTGGTTCTGGAGAAGCTGAAACTTGGGCTTCCTCCCCAACTCCCTCTTCTAACCAGCATGACTTCCTCTATTTAGGGGTGTACCAGAATCCTTGTTTCTCCACAGAATGGTCAAACTTTGGGAGATGCTGAAAGCCATGCCAATAACAAGTCTCTCCTTATGGCACCATGCAGGGCCCTCCAGTTTACAACTGGTGGCACCAGACTAGAGTAAAGACTAATTAAACAGGGTATTTCATAGACATTATAGGCTGGAAGGGACCTCGAGAGATCATTGGGTCCAGCCCCTCTCCCCCCCAGCCATAAACAGGAAGTCAACTGGGATCAAGTGACTCCAGCAAGAAATATATCCACGTGTTTTTTGAAGGAATCCAGAGTAGGTGCTTGTACCATCT